AGTTCTCAAAAGTAGGTAAATACAACCTCAGATGAACAATAACACATGACATATTATACCAGGTCATCATTTATTTTACAAAAAGAAAGCCAAAATTGAGAAGCCATGTGTGAAAAATTAAGTACACCTTATGATTCAATAGCTTATAGAACCACCTTTAGCAGCAATAATTTGAAGTAATCATTTTCTATATGACCTTATCAGTCTCTCACATCGTGGTAGAGGAATTGTGGCCCACTCTTCTTTACAACATTGCTTCAGTTCATTGAGGTTTGTGGGCATTTGTTTATGCACAGCTGTCTTGAGGTCCCGCCACAGCATTTCAATCAGGTTGAGGTCTGGACTTGGACTGGACCATTGCAACACCTTGATTCTTTTCTTTTCTTTTCCAGCCATTGGGTTGTAGATTGGCTGGTATGCTTGGGATCATTGTCCTGTTGCATGACCCAATGTCGGCCAAGCTTCAGCTGTCGGGCAGATGGCCTCACATGTGACTCTAGAATACTTTGGTATACAGAGGAGTTCATGGTCGACTCAATGACTGCAAGGTGCCCAGGTCCTGTGGCTGCAAAACAAGGCCAAATCATCACCCCCTCCACCACTGTGCTTGATGGTTGGTATGAGATGTTTGTGCTGATATGCTGTGTTTGGTTTTCGCCAAACATGGCACTGTGCATTATGGCCAAACACCTCCACTTTGGTCTTATCTGTCCAAAGGACAGTGTTCCAGAAGTCTTGTGATTTGTTCAGATGCAACTTTGCAAACTTAAGCCGTGCTGCCATGTTCTTTTTAGATAGAAGAGGCTTTCTCTTGGCAACCCTTCCAAACAGACCATATCTGTTCAGTCCCTTTCTAATTGTACTGTCATGAACTTTAACATTTAACATGCTAACTGAGGCCTATAGAGTCTGAGATGTAACTCTTGGATTTTCTGCAATTTCTCTAAGCATTGCATGGTCTGATTTGCTGGGACATCCACTCCTGAGAAGATTGGCAACTGTCTTGAACATTTTCCACTTGTGAATACTCTTCCTCACTGTAGAATGATGGACTTTAAATTGTTTAGAAATGGCCTTATAACCTTTCCCAGATTGATGGGCAGCAACAATTGCTTCTCTAAGATCATTGCTGATGCCTTTTTGGTACTGTGTTAACACACACCTCAATGCTCGAGCCCAGCAAACTCCTAAAACTTTGGCTGTTATAGAGGTAGTCACACTCGCTGATGATCAATTGATCA